CCCTTTCTATCTCATTTCTGGATGCTTAATCCCTGGCCCAGCAGTACAGTGTGAGTTTATAGAGCACGATCTTCGCCAAGGAGTGTGAGATGGAGAACGCTGCCAGACAGCGCCTCTGGGCTGTGGCACAGCAGCAGGTGTCCAGCCCCAAGCTGACACGCCTGAGCCCCTTTCAGAGGCATTTTCCCAAATCCCACCCTTGGTGAGAGTCCTGCAGAATCAGTCCTTTCTCAGGAGGCAGGATTCCAAATCAAATCACTGTGTATCAGTGTCACTGCCCCAGTCCTGAGATGTCCACACTGCCTCTGGGAGTGCAGTGGAGAGGGAGGGAGGGAGGTGGGCAGGGCAGGGCAGGCTGATCTCAGTGGTTGTGTTTGGTGCCAGGTACAACAGAAACCAAGGGCATTTCAGCCCAGACGACCTTCGTAACTTGATCTCTTGCATTCCTTGTATTCCAGCCAAGGAAATAAACACTGGCATGTCATGTCTAAGACATGCGGTCACATTCACAGAGTGTTTTTATTTATATTACCTGAGTCTCGTCACATTCTTTTTATTAGTATTATGATTTTTAATCCTCACCAAGGATATTTTTCCCATTGATCTTAGAGTGAAAGGGAGGGGGGAAGAGAGAGAGAGAGAGAGAGAGAATATCATCGATGTGAGAGAGACACAGTGACTGGTTGCCTCCTGTATGCACCCCGACTGTGGCTAGGGATCAAACATGAAACTGAGGTACATGCCCTTGACCAGAAGTCGAACCTGAGACCCTTTGGTCCAAGAGCCGACGCTCTAACCACTGGGAAAACTGGCCAAGGCCATCACACTCTCCAGGTGAGGAACTGAGCTTCAGGGAGGGTAAGAAGCATGCCTGAGGCTCTCCGCTTAGTATCTGGCACAACCCAGACGGGGGCTGGATCTTGCCGAGGCCCCAGGATGCAGCAGAGACCGGTGTTCCATGGACCTTGGGTCCAGCCTCAGGTCTGCCACTAATCCGTTCTGTGGTGTGTCCAGGCCTCACTCTTCCCCGCTTTTAAATGGGCGTAATCACAGTACCTGTGCCATCAGGTCCTTGCGAGGGTAGAAGGACATGATGCCTAAGAAGAGCTTGGCAGAGTACCTGGCACAGGGATTCCAGGAAATGGTAGTGGTTAATATTAGTTTGGTCCATCTATTAGAGATAAATCTACCTACACTTACTAGAAAAGTGAGCAATATCAACTGAAACACATGGGGGTTGTTTTTCTCACACAGCAAGAAGTTTGAAGCAGGCAGTCGCAGGCGGCCAACAGCCGAATGACACCATCAAAGGCCACTTGCCTTTCACTCCTCCTGGTCTCCAGAGCGTTTTGATTTGCCGCTTCATGGCTGCTAGGTGGCTGCTGCACTCCATCTACCATGACTGGGAGGAGGGGTGCAGTACCAGGGACGCCCCCCCCTTTTGTAAAGAAAGCAAAAGCTGCCCCAGAGCCCCGCTTCCAACCACAGCAGATTTCTGCTTTTGTCTCACTGGCCCGGACCATGTCTTCTGACCATTTGTAGCTGCAGGGACTTGGACAGTGAGCATTTAACTTTTCAGATTTGATCGGATAAGTGGTGGCACGGAAGAAGGTGGGTGAGCGTGGGAATAGCCTGAGCCAATTGTATTCGCCACAGTTCTTCCTGCCTCTTGGGTCGTTACGTTAGAGGCTTAGTTAATCCTGGTCACCTGTTCAGGGCACGTGAACAGCCGCGCCCTTTTCTAGACTGATTCCCTTTTGTTTTCACAAAATATATAGTTCCGTGTGCATCTGTTCTTCTTAACCTTTAAATTAAATTATAACACACACACACACACACACACACACACACACACACACACACTGCAGTGTTTCTAGACGGCTCAGCAGAGCTTTACTATTTATCCTCTTGACAGCACCACTCTGACTACTGTGTGGAACATTCCCAGCATCCCAGCAATTCTCTACCCCCAGGACCCTGGTTTGCCTGTTCTTTGACTCCATGTGAATGGAATTGTGCATTTGTGTGTACAGTAGTTTCTCCCTCTCCACCCCATTATCCATGGGACACATGTTCCAAAACCCCCATGGATGCCTGAAAGCAGGGGTAGTAGCGAACCCTACACATACTATGTTTTTTTCTAGACACACACTTAATGGAAACCCTTTCTGCCTTCTCTCAGGCATTTCTGAATTGCCAGCAACACTACTCTTGTGCTTTGGGGCCATTATGAAGTAAAATAAGGGTGACGAACAGAGGCACTGTGCTACCCGGACAGTTGATCTGATCATGGAGAAGGCTCCCACGTGACTAACAGGCAGGGAGCGCATAATCATGTGGATACGCTGGACAAAGCGGTGATTCATGTCCCAGGCATGACACACAGGGGGAAGGCGTGAGATTTCATCAAGCTGCTCAGTGGCATGCAGGCTAAAACTTATCAGTTGTTTATGGAATTTTTAAGTTAATATTTTTGGTCCTCAGTTGACTGCAGGTAACCGAAACTGCGGAGAGTGAAACCACGGGCAAGGGAGACGGCGGTGCTGTGACCCCGGTCACTCACCTTGAGAGTCACTGTTCTTACACGAAGTGGGGCTGCATTAGTCACTGTTCTTACACGAAGTGGGTCCCTCCAGCGCCGCGTCCACTTTGAAAGGAGTCTCCTGGGGACTCGTAAGGTTGCCTCGGATGCTGTCAGCATAAAAGAATTTCCTTGAACACTCCTTCGTTTGGAGAGGGTGGAAGCAGAGAATAAGAGGGATGGTTTCTGGAAGGACATTTTTAGGCAAAGGGGAAAAGGCAACTGAAAGCGTCATTGGGAACCTGGAAGCCAGCCTTCCACACACAGGTTTAGGGCTGTCTTCCGTGCCCCAGCCCTTCCACTGGCCTCATTCAGAGCTCAGGGACTTAAACTCACAGCAACTCTGGCTCTCCCGGGGCTGGGAAAACTGGTTTGAATTCAGGTTCTGAAAAGCCTTCCTCCCTGCAAGGCTGGCTGGGCTTTCCCTCTCAAAGCCAGGGTGGTTTTCTTTATAGAACGCTCCACCCAGGACACACTTGAGAACAAGAATAAAGCTGATGCTTTTCAATGGAGTCTTAAATGACGATGAAAGGGACTAGTTATTCCTGCAAGTATAGTCATGTAGGTAAGTCAGGGACCGAGTAGAAAAATGGAAACTATGCAGTTTGCTCTAGTGGCTGGTGGTTGTCTTCTCTTGGGGTATCTGCTGGTTCCAGGCCTGTGCCTGCTGGGATAAGGTGCTGAAATCTCCGGCAGAGGCCTAATGGGACGTTCTGTGCGCAGCGGCTAGCGCACGCTGCAAAGTGATCGGCTTGGCAGGCTGGCCCATCCTGGCCACTTCCATTTAGGCCCGGCATCCTTACAGGATGTGTCAGTGGGCACGCGGCACTAAGCGGAAGAACAGCCTACCCCAGTGCCTCTAACATGGATGGCCAACCTTGAATTTAGCGATACTTATTGCTAACAAATGTATGATATTTTATTAAGTTTGTTGAGTAATGTATGTAGCCCTAGCCCTTACTGGGGATTTTGCATATATTATTTCAATTATTTTCCATAGGAAGTGGGGAGATACGTAGGATTATTTGCATTTTGCAAGTGAATAAATTAAAGATTAGAGAATTTAACTAACCTGCTAGTAAGAAACAGGTTTAAAAAAAAAAATTAAAAAAAAAAAAAAAGAAACAGGTTTAAGAAGTAGGGTTGCAACTCAACATCGGTTCTCTTAGATCCCAATGGCCACGTCCCTGGTGCTTCTGCACACTACCTGTTGAAAATAGCCACTGGCCTTTCTGGTATGCTCATCCTCTCAGCGGCCCGTGCTTCCCAGCCACTCACCCAACACACACTCTTCAGTGTTCGTCCAACAAGGGACTGGTTTTCGGACAGCTAAAAGCCGCAAATACCTTGTCACATATTTTAATTTTAGCTAACTGGTGAAGCTTCACTGTAACACAATTGTATTTTATTAAAGAAATTTTTAAATATATTTAAAACAGTCTTGGTTTCAGTCCTAATGTCACCATGAATCAAAACAAGCCACGAGCCCTCAGCTCCCCCTTGTTTGCGAACTGAGGAGGTGAAGTGTGTGGTTGCGAATGTCCCTACCTGTTCTACAAGCATGGGCTTCAATAATGTTTGCTTTTGTGTGTGTGTTTTTGTGATTCTAAAACAGCTTCCTAGTACAAATATTTCTTTTATAAATTTTTTTTTATTTTTCAATTACAGTTGACATTCAATATTATATTAGCTTCAGCTGTGCAGCATAGTGGTTAGACATTTATATAACTTACAAAGTGATTCCCCCATAAGTCTTGCACCCACCTGACAGCATGTAGTTATTAGAATATTATTGACTGTATTCCCTAAGCTGTACTTTACACCCTCATAACTATTTTGTAACTGCCCACTTGTACTTCTTAATCTCTTCACCTTTTCATCCAGTTTCCCAACCCCACTCCCATCTGGCAACCATCAGTTTGTTCTCTGTGTCTATGAGTTTGCTCCTGTCTTGCTAGTTTGTTAAACAAATATTTCTTAAAGGAGCCTTAAATGCAAGTCGAAAGAAGTGGATAACATTGGGGCTTTCAAAAAAGAATTATTTTAATGTAAGTTTTTTACTCTTCCAAGCAAAGCTACATTTTTCATTGTATTTCCCAGTTCATCATTCCCACCAAAAGAAAAGCAGGTTCTTAAATAATGCATATTGGAGCTTAGATTCCATGAGGGTTTGGCAAGTTTTAATCTTGGATAAGATGATGTAAAATATTGCCAATAGCCAACCTTAGGTTGCCAACCCAAATATAAATCCCTACTTGTTCAGTATATGAATGTATAACATAAACTGTTTTAAATTACTGTATACCTGGTACTGTTGAATAGAATTAAGACACTGTTGGGCAACTCTAAAAATAAGAGTAAGGCGATATTGTGGTCTAATTAGTTAAGAATGTGCTATACTTTTACTACATCATTTTAGACCCAATAAAGAGAAAACTGGCCATGTGAGTGACTCAGGATCGTCTGTCATTAAGCATGGGCTCAATCCAGAGAAGGTCTTCATGCAGGTTCATTATTTAAAGGTAAGCACATCTAAGTGGCAGAAGCCAGTGACTATGGTATAGCATTTTTTAGATTGTACACATAAACAGTGAAGATTAATAACATGGTTGAGCTAAACAAAACAATGATCAACATTATAATGACATTTGACTGGGTAGATATCTGATTGTCTAATAATTAAAACACTTTATACCCAAAAAATGAGGCATGAATCAAAGGAACCTGAAGTATTTCCTGCCCTGTACCTCCCTTCTCCCTGCTTCACGTCAGCTTTGAAGAGCAGAATCTTAAAATTGTTGTCAGGTTCCAACTGGAGCATAGGAGCAAGAAGGAAGCATTTTAAGGTGAAAGGCCTTTCCTGATAGCTGAGGGAGAAAAGAGCCAGGACCCGGCCCTTCTGGTTTGAGACGTGCGTCCAGGCTTCATGTAAACCAAGGGGAATGCCCAGATGAGTTGAAAGCAAAGTAGTCGATCCTTAATTTCTAGAAAGACACATATCACGTGATCTCACTTATATGTGGAATCTAATGAACAAAATTAACTGATGAACAAAATAGACCCAGAGACATGGAAGCATGCAACAGACTGATGTATTTCAGAGGGAAGGGTAGGATGG